TTCCTGGGCCACAGCAGAGAGCTGGACTGGAAGAGGAGCAACCGGGACAGAATCCGGCACCCAAACTGGGACTAGAACCTGGGGTGCCGGTGCCGCAGGCGGAGGATTAGCCTAGTGAGCCGCGGCGCCAGCCAAGTTGATGCAAATATTAAAACATGAGAATTCACACATGTGACTGCTGGGAGCGTGGTTGATCACAGGACTAGAGGAGAGTTTGTGGCAAGGTAGAAGCTATGTGTAGATGTCAATCTACCACTACCCTTCTAAGTCACCCTCCCTTGAAAAGAACAAGCATGCAGACAGCAAGATGTACATGCAAGGATGTTTATTGCAATGTGGTTTTGAATAAGGAAAAAAAATCAGAACCAAACCATGCTTCACTCATAAATAGTATACATAATTTACCTATGGTATAGTTATACAATATTGATAAGTAAGATCTACATTTACCAAGTCGGAGAAATCCTCCCAAAATATTAAGTGACTAAAATAAGATTAAGTAAAGAAGAGTAATTCTTCTATAAATATCTAAAACATAAAGCAATGTGTATGGATTTATATATATATTTATAATGAATGAATTTGCACTGAGTAAAAACACCAAAAATAGAAAATAAAAGGAAAAAAAGCATGAATGGACATGAAAGAGTATAGAGCATAAAAATAATGCCAAAACTATTGAAACATCATAGATCTAAACTTTTTAAAAATCTGTTTGTATGTGAGTGAGAGGCATTAGCATAGAGTATACATTATCTGCATGATACTAGAGGTATTTTTGTTTCCATTATTTATGATTTTAATGATTTCTTCTTGCTTCTTTTTACTTCCTGAGATTTCTATTTTTAAAGATTTTTTAAAAATTAATTTGAAGGCAGAGTTACAGAGAGACGAGCAACAGAGACAGAAGGTTTCCATCTGTTGGTTCACTCCCCAGATGGCCACAATAGCTGGGGCTGGGGCTGGGGCTACGGCTGTGCCAGGGCAAAGCCAGGAACCACAAGCTTCATCTGGATTTCCCATGTGGCCCAAGCATCTGGGCCATCTTCTGCTGCCATTTCACATCATCTGGGCCATCTTCTGCTGCCTTTCACATGCAGGGAGCTGCATCAGCAGCTAGGACTCAACCCAACTCCCATATGAGATGCCAGCATTACAGGCAGCAGCTTCACCCACTACAAAACAACGCTGGCCCTCCTGAGACTTGTATATACTTTTTTTTTTTTTACAGGCAGAGTTAGACAGTGAGAGAGAGAGACAGAGAGAAAGGTCTTCCTTCCATCAATTCACCCCCAAAATGGCCGCCACGGCCAGCATGCTGCGCCAATCCAAAGCCAGGAGCCAGGTGCCTCCTTCTGGTCTCCCATGCAGGTGCAGGGCCCAAGCACTTGGGCTATCCTCCCCTGCCTTCCTGGGCCACAGCAGAGAGCTGGACTGGAAGAGGAGCAACCGGGACAGAATCCAGCGCCCCAAGCGAGACTAGAACCCAGAGTGCCGGCGCCACAGGCGGAGGATTAGCCTAGTGAGCCGCGGTGCCAGCTTCTTGTATGTACTTTTATTAAAAAAAATTAATGAGTTAATTGACTTCCTTTTACAAGAGTGTAAAAGTTGTAAAAAAAAATAGTAAAGGAAGTTTCATTTGACAAGAAAAAAGAATAGGGCCTTGCACTGTGGCATAGTGGGTAAAGCTGCCACCTGCAGTGCCAACATCCCTTATGGGCACTGGTTTGAGTCCAGGCTGCTCCACTTCTGATCCAGCTCTCTGCTATGGTCTAAGAAAGCAGTAAAGGATGGCTCAAGTCCTTGGGACCCTGTGCCCACGTGGGAGACCCATAAGAAGCTCCTGGATTCTGGCTTCAGATCGGCTCAGCTCCAGCCTTTGCTGACATTTAAGGAGTGAACCAGCGAATGGAAGATCTCTCTCTCTCTCTCTCTCCACTGCTTCTCTGTAACTCTGCCTTTCAATTAAATAAATAAATCTTTAAAAAAGAAGAAGATTGCAGTCTGAGACACACATGTCCAGGCTAGAGTGGTCTCTGGTGTGTCGAGGAACAAAGGGAACATAGAGGAAGAGAGAAAAGCTACATTAGGTGTTATGAAGGAAAACCGATTGGCATTTGTAGTGTTATGTGAGAGCCGTTGAGCTCTGGTTTGCAAACAGCTACTAAGTAAAACTAGTCTTAAATTCAAATGAGGAGTAGACTGTGTCTCTGGATAGGATTTGCAAGACAGTGTGGCAGGCAAGTGTTCCTGTGTCAGCAGTGGCTGTCTGTATGCGGGGAGCTGTCCTTGGGATGGTTCCTATCATCAGGCAAATTGTGCATCAGAGCCTTCCCTTTAAGGTCCTCTCTGCTTCATTTCTCAGGGTTTGACATGAGTGACTCCATTTTGAATCTGACAACTCTCCAATAGTATGGTGAACTGAAAATCCTTCCTGCTAGAAACAATTAAAAATTGTTAGAAAAGTTTTTTTTTTTTAAATTTTAACAGCCAACAAGATAATAAAGAAGACTCAAAGGCCTGAAAAGACATGAAACTGGGAACCACAGGAGCGAGTGGCTTTAGCCACTATTTCTCTTGGACACTTGCCACCTCCCAGGAGTAGGAATTAAGCACTGGCCAGGAATCCAACAACCGACCCTGAGGCACTGGGCCTGGAGACCGCACACCACAGACTGCCCAATGTGGGCTGCTGCCCTGAATTTGACCTTCTCATGGTGTCCCAGAAATCTCAAGTTGAAAATTTAACCTCAAAATACTCTGAGATTGATAGTAGGTCCCAACCAGATCAACCTCATAGACATAATGAAAAGCAAAAGAAGCAAGTCACAGAAGGATAAATACCATGTACTTCCATTGCAATGATTTGAAAAGAGAACTAAAAAATTTACTATATATTGCTTTATAGTCATGTGGCAAAATTTTGAAGAAAAGCACTATCACTTCAAAGTACAAAACTCCCAATTCTACATAGTGGTAGACTTAAACACTCTCTTTCAGAAGGGAATAGAGTAAGTAGTTTAAATACATAAAGATGGGGCCAGCGCTGTGGTGCAGTGGGTTAGAAGCCCTGGCCTGAAGCGCCGGCATCCCATATGGGCGCCAGTTCTAGTCCTGGCTGCTCCTCTTCTGATCCAGCTCTCTGCTGTAGCCTGGGAAAGCAGTAGAAGATGACCCAGGTCTTTTGGCCCTTGCACCCACGTGGGAGACCAGGAAGAATCACCTGGCTCCTGGCTTCGGATCGGCGCAGCTCCAGCCATCTGGGGAGTGAACCAGTGGATGGAAGACCTATCTGTGTGTCTCTACCTCTCTCTGTAACTCTGTCTTTCAAATAAATAAAATAAATCTTAAAAAAATACATAAGCCTCTCTTATCTTTATGTATTTTTTTGTTCTACTTAATACTTTTGGTTGAATACTGTAATCAATACAAAATTCTTCTCAAGTGCTGAAACTTAACTGAAAAGTGATCGCTGTTAAATATAAGAGTGGGAATAAGAGAGGGAAGAGATGTGCAATTCGGGACATGCTCAAGTTGACTTACCTCAAACGGTAGAGTTAGAAACATACCAGGGGATTCCAAATCAATCCCATCAAGGTGGCATGTACCAATGCCATCTCACTAGTCCCAGTGATCAATTTCTGTTCACAATTGATCATAATGATAGGACTAAGAACCAAAGGGATCACATAAACAAGAATAGTGTCTGCAAATACTAGCTGATAGAATAAAAAAGGGAGAGAACGATCCAACATGGGAAGTGAGATACAAAGCAGACCCATAGAATGGCAGATGTCCTAAACAGCACTCTGGCCTCAGAATCAGCCCTTAAGGCATGCGGGTCTGGCTGAAAAGCCCATGAGAGTATTTCAGGCATGGAAAGCCAAGACACTCTGGGGAAAAAAAAAAAAAAAAAAAAAAAAAAAACCTAAATGAAAGATCTCCGCGAGTGAGATCCCAGTGGAAAGAACAGGTCATCAAAGAAGGAGGTACCTTTCTCTGAAGGGAGGAGAGAACTTCCACTTTGACCATGGCCTTGTCTAAATATGATCAGAGTCAGTGAACTCAAAAGGCTTCCATAGCCTTGGCAACTCATGACAAGAGCCTAGGGTGATTACTGACGCCATAGAGTGTCAATTTGTTAAGTCAACAACAGGAGTCACTGTGCACTTACTCCTCATGTAGGATCTTTGTCCTTAGTGTGCTGTACATTGAGATTTAATGCTATAACTAGTACTCAAACAGTATTTTTCACTTTATGTTTCTGTGTGGGAGCAAACTGTTGAAATCTTTACTTAATGTATGCTAAACTGATCTTCTGTATATAAAGAGAATCGAAAATGAATCTTGATGTGAATGGCAGGGGAGAGGGAGTGGGAAAGGGGAGGGTTGCGGGTGGGAGGGACGTTATGGGGGGGAAGCCATTGTAATCCATAAGCTGTACTTTGGAAATTTATATTCATTAAATAAAAGTTAAAAAATAAATAAAAAAAGTACATAAAGATAAGAGAGGCTTTGAATTCAAAATCATCAGTGTTGCATTCATTCATAAGAGAATATGCATGCTTCTTAAAACTTTTATTGTCAAGATAAATTAATCATATCCTGAGACAAGAAGACAATCGCCAGAAATTTCTAGAGGTTAATATCATTCAAAACACATGTATCTTCACAAAGCAATGCAACTAGAAAATAATTTTAAGAAGCAAACTTCATATAACTTTTAATGAAAAACTAAAAGTAGAAACTGCCAACCACCAGCAACCGAATAATAAATGAGGATACTGTGTCTCCAATCCCGTGAGATGAAGGGGGTGAAAGAGACATTTAGAACAGCTATTCTTAAGTGTATTGATTAGGTACAAAGATAGATTAAAATAAATTAAATTAAGCTATCCACTGAACAATTCAAGAGAAAGAACACAATAAATTCAAAGACATTAGAAGAAAACAATTAGTAAAGAGGAAAACAATTTAATTGAATAAAATAAACCCACACACAAAACTTCCAGATAATCAGTAGCACTAAATAAAACAAATTTGGGGCAAATACAATAAAAAATTTGTATAAGGGAAAGCAAGGCAGAAATAAGTAATAAAGGAAATAAATGGCACATAGGAGTGCCAATATTGTGACAAGTATACATTACTAAAGTTTTATGTATGACTTTAGTTCAATAAAAATAAGAGCAAACTTAAGAATTATGGCATTTCTTGGCCATTCCTCGCAATCCTATTCCTGCAAAAGGCTGTCTGTATACCTAACCAATAAATGTGAATTAAATATGTCTCCTTTGTGATAACCCACACTGAAGAGTACATATTTTATTGTATTTACTTTTTTAAAAAATTTTATTTTATTTACTGGAGGGTTCAAGTAAGAGAGGGAAAAACAAAGCCCCTATGAGCTGGTTCACTTTCCAAATGCCCATAATGGCTGGGCCTGGGCTGAGGTTGAAGTTGGATGCCAGGAACTCAATCCAAGTCTCCCACGTGGAACATGGGTGGCAGAGATCCAATTGCCTGAGCCACTGCCTGCTGCCTCCCAGGGTGCGCACTAGCAGGAAGCTGGAGTCAGGAACTGGAGCTGGGTACACTCCAATGTGGAATGTGGCCATCTTAACTGTCAGGTCAAACATTGGTCCCCAAAAGAAGGCATTTTAAAGGAAGAATGTTAGGGAAAATTAAAGGTATTGGAAGGAGGTTAAGGGAAAATATATAAACTAATGTGCTTGCACCGAGGAGAAAAATTAGCATGGATCAAATTCAATTTTCCTACATACATGCTATTTGAATAAAGAAGGGAGTTCATCGGTGGTACTAGGATGATGTGCTGTGATTTTGAAACTTAAATCTTCTGGTGCCCCAGGAAGGAGGCATGGGAGCTCTAGATGCATCCTTGACGCCACTGACAGCAGCACCCTTGGGCACCATAAATCATTCCCAGCAGTCAGCAGGGTGATTTCTTACCACAACGCCTCTTCACCCCAGAGAACACTCAAGCACTCCCGTACGTTTCTGTGTACAATTTTCCAATCCAAGGGAAAACCAAAATCCATGAAATAACCATTTCCATCCTAAAGTGTGAAGAGGATTCCAGAAGCCCAACGTCTCCACAGCCCTGCCTGGAAGGTGTCTTCTGCACCACCTCTTGGACCATGCCATGCGCTTCGGGGCACTTCCCAGTCAACTGTGCTTGTTTTCTTAAAAACCAGCAGAGCAACGTTGAAAGTTTCTCTCAAGGACCACTGCAAGGAGAGACTGTCCTGTGATGGCCACCTCTCAGGGGTGCGCAGGCTGCACTGGAGCCTCCTGGATCTTCAATGCAAACTGAATTCTGAAAGATTCTAAACTGTCTCCCTCTCGCATGTTTAATACCCTCTGTGGCTTCCATCTGTACTGCAGGACTGTATTCTCTGTTCAGACTCAGTGACCTCCCAAACGCAGGCCTGAAATATGAACCCAAAAGAGGGCTTTATGGAGGCCACCGGGCTCATGGCACCCACGGCCAGGAGAGAGCCTTTCCCGACTGTAATATCCATGGTTGGGACACTGCCACCTTAGGCTTACTACTGAACAATAAATGATTGTAAATCCCCTAGGATCCGGAGTGGAGAGAAAGACAGTAAACAGCTTTATGTCATCTTAGTGTATATTTTAGAGCTGTTTTGCCAGGAAGAGCTTTTTGTTGAACGCAATCATTATTTGGGGGATATTCATGTACTGCGACTCTCCCCAGGAGCGGCTGAGGGGCCCCAGACTTTCTGCCATCCACCACCTGAGTATTCTGCCACAGCAACCTCAGGTGTGCCCGCTCCCAGAACAGGTAGCAGAATTCCCTGGAGTCTTTCACTCTCAGGCCTCCACCCTCATCCCAGGCAATGCAATCTCTCAGCATTCATCAGCCTAGTCTGGTGGTCATGCATTGTGGGGTACAACAATCCTAATTTTAGGATGCAAGACTAGAGAGTCACCTTCATGTCACTACTTCCCAGGTAACTCAGACACTAACATTTTGTTGATAGAGAACAATGTCAACCTTCTCATCGTCATGCTTGAATTCTTTAGAGTTTATTCCAAGTTGTAAGCATATTTCTTTTTACCTTAGAACTCAAGTCCATTTTTTTCATAATATAATGTTCCGTAAAATGTATCTTAGTATAAAACATGTGTCAAATCTTATGGGCTGCTTGAGAAGCTCACATCTCACACTGAAGTGCCTGGATTGGAGTCCCATCTCTGCCCCTGATTCCAGCTTCCTGATAATGCATGCCCTGAGAGGCAACAGGTGATGGCTGAAATTCTTAGGACCCCACCACCCACGAGAGAGACCCAGATTGAGTTTCTGACTCCTGGCTTTAGTTTGACCCAGTCCCAGCTGCTACAGCCAACTGGGTAATGAACCAGCAGATAGAAGGTTGAGCCTACTCTCTTTTTCCCTTTTCCCTGCTCGCCACCCCCATCTCTATGCCTTTCAAATAAATAAAGATAAACTAATAAAGAAATAATCTTTTTAAATCCCATGACTCATTACAGAGATGAGCTCCCCACTCTGCTTCTGCTTATCTCTAATCCTTCCTCACAGCTAATTCCTTCTGCCTCCCTCTCTAGTCCTTCCACAGGACTAATTTTAACCTGGTAAGTACAGCTCTAAAGCTAAGGTCATTACGCTTTATAAAAAAGTATGAATGCACACAGAGATGCAAATAGCATATATTCACATCACAAATGAGGACTTGTGTTATCTAATTTATTTTGACTAGAGGATACATATACGTAGTACAAATTTCAAAATATCCCAAGGAGTACACACAGGCATAAGGGTTGAACAATGTCTATCAGAAATTTAGGTGTATGCAGAACTCAGAATGTGATCTTATTTTGAAAAAAGTTTTTTGCAGATCTAATTAGTTTAGCTTTTCAAGATAAAGTCATCCTGGACTTGGAGGTGATCCTAAATCCAGTGACTGAGGTCTTTTTAAGAAAAGGAGAGGTCACAGAGGCAACATAACCACGGAAAGACAGCAACAGAGCGGAGTGATGCCGCCACAACCTGGAGATGCCTGGGGCTATCACCCTCTGTACTTTGTAGAAATAATGTCAGATATTTCTGTGTATTAATTTTGTACTTTACTAGCTAATGAATCTCCATTGGCAATATTTCTTTCTATTGATTTTCTTAGATTTTCCAAATATATGAGTGTATCATTTGCAAAGAATAACCATTTATACCCTCTTTTACATTTATATTTTCCTCTAGCTAGTAGTTGTGGAGCAATATTTAACAGTACTGATGCTTCCCATCTTTGTCTTTTACTTAAATGTAATGGAAGAGATTCTTGTGTTCTCTCATTAGACATGACATGGGCCTTTAATTTCAGATTACACACACAGAGATTTTTAAATGTCAAGGAAGCATCTATTTTTATTTTATTAAGAGTGTGATATAAATAAATGTCAATTTTTAAAAGGTACCTTTTTAACATCTACAAAAAAGCGATATATGATACAAAGGTAGGTACTAGACAGATATAGAGATAGGTAGAGGATAGATATGAGAGGAAATTTGTTTTTTGTCTTTGAACAAAATTTTGGCCACGTTTCTTTGTATAAACTTAAAAATATTACTCTAATATCTTTTTTAAAGATTTATTTATTAATTTGAAAGGCAGAGAGAGAGAGAGAGAAGTCTTTCATCCACTGGTTCACTCCCCAGATGGCCACAATTGGCTGAACTGAAGCCAGGAGCCAGGAGCTTCTTCCAGGTCTCCCATGTGGGTACAGAGGCCCAAGGACTTGGGCCATCTTCTCCTGTTTTCCTATGCCATGTCAGAGAGTTGGATTGGAAGTGGAGCAGCCAGGACTGGAACCAGCGCCCATATGGGATGCTGGCACTGCAGGTGGCGGCTTTACCAGCTAAGCCACAACACCAACCCCTCTAATATCTTTTAATATTGAATGGTTATATGAAGAAGTCTAAGGCATGAAGCCAGCAGTCTTGTTTTTCTTTCTCATTAAATGTGACTTAATCATCTACATACATGTAAAACAATTTTCTATTTTTGACATTCAATATTTTTATTAAGGTTTGTTTAGTATGCAATATTCTGTATCAGTTTTTCCTGTACAGTCAACTTAGAGATTCAAATGTGCTTTTCTTTATGTAGTTTTATTTTAAATATATCTGTAAATATTTCCAAAGGCTTGCCCTTATGTATATCTCCTTTGTTTCAGCAATTAACATTTACAGTACTAGTTCTCCACCAAACCATAATTACTTGTTTTGATATTAGCGACTAGGGTGTTAAGAGATCACCAATGATCTGATTTTTCTATGATTTCTACTTCACTGATACTGATTTCCAGCATGCTGACCCCCGTAAGTGTGCTGGGAGTCATCTTTGACTGCAGCTGGATCCAGCCACTAGGTCACTCAGGGTACGTTGAGATGTGATTAATCACAAACATGTTAGAAATTTCCTCTCTTGTGGGCTGGCAGTGATTTAGTGAAGCATTTTTTAATATATGCAATATGGGGGCTGGTGCTGTGGTTTAGTAGGTTAACCACCAAACTGCTGCATCAGCATCTCAAATGGGTACCATTTCAAACCCAGCTGCTCCACTTCCAATCCAGCTCCCTGCTGACGGCCTGGGAAAGCAGTAGAAGATGAACCAAGTGCTTGGACCACTGCATGCGTGTGGGAGAACCTGAAGAAGTTCCTGGCTCCTGGCTTCAGATCAGCCCAGATCAGGCCATCGTGGCCATTTGGGGACTGGACCAGAGGATGGAGGACCTCTCTGTCTCTTCTCTCTGTCTGTAACTCTGCCTCTCAAATAAATGTGAAGCTTTAAAATAATAAAAAATAAAAATAAATTAAAAATATATATGGTATGTATATAGTCTGTAAACTGCTTTTCTTCCCAACTGGCCCTTGAACAAATAAAAATCGCCTAACTAGTATACTCCATCACCTTATACGTGTAGCTAAGATTTCTATCACACTTTCTTTCCTTGAGGCCAGCCCCATCTTCTCCATGCAACATCATGTCTCCTACAAACCAAATATTCCCTGTTCATGATAACAGATAACTTGACACAGTAACTAGATTCTCAAGCAGTCTTGGCAAGGAGCCTGAAAAGAGGGAAGCGTGCCTCATGCCATCCTTACAGAAACCCTGTGAAGCACAGGTGATACCCCCATTTCATGAACAAGGGTGGAGAAAGTTAGCCACTACCCCCACTTCCCAGGCATGGTCACGAAGAGGCTGTGGTGCTCACCTGGTTTGTCCTGACCTGAACACTGGGGCTTTGAGCTCCACCCTTTGCTCAGGTCTTGATTGCTCCGGTCTTGTTTTGTGATTAAGGATGCATTTCCAAGATAGCTGGAGAAGCAGCTTGTGGCTGTGACTCAGACTAGAGTGAATCTTCACTGAGGCCACAAATGAGTACTTTACAAAAACTATTCTAGGAAAGTAATTTCCAGCATAATAGGAACTGTTCAAACTTGCCAGCAAAGTAAATACATGGAAAGTAGCACAAGCTGCCTTGGTGGGCTGACAGCCTGACAAAGACAAGAGCCACTGACCTTCCCCGGTGCCAGTGGGAGGGTAACGGTGAGCGTCTTCAGCTCCTGCCAGTGTAAATAACATGTTAGTAATCCTGTGAAGAAGCAATCTGGATGTGTGCATTAAAGAACCTTTAAAAGGCGGCTGAAATCTTACTTGGTAATTGTAATTGTAGGATTTCATCTGAAACAGGGTCAGATATTTATGAAGCCTGTGTTTCATTCCAGCACGACTTAAGATAAAGAAGTTGGAAATAAACTAAATGTCCAAAAGAAAAGAAAAAAAAAAAAAACAAGCATAGGAAAAAACAATGTCACTGAACAGAAAAAAACTAGAAAGGAGGAATTGTGACAAATTGGTTGAAGGGGCTACTTCTGGATGGGAATGTAAGTAGGTGTATATGGCTATAATTCATATCTCAAAATGCTCTACCATATGTCATTTGATCACTGGAGTGATAATGAAAAAATTCTGAGATTCCTGTATTTAGTTACAAAGGGCATGGAGTGGAAGGAAAGAGCGATCTGAGATTAATCAGTAACACGTTACAGGCAGAAAAGAACAGAAAACCATTTTGCATTCATGAATTATGATGAAAACTTAAATGCTCTGGGGATCCCTCAGTGACTTCACATCCTGCTTGCAGCCCCACTCAATTCAGAGACAAGAGCTGCTCGGGGTCATCACCCCTCTCTATAGTCGCTAATGTGGGTTCCTCACTGAATCAGGACAGGGCTCACTTCTTGGGGAGCAGAAATCCAAACCTCGACCAGAAGTAATGGTCACAGAAAGTAGCTTGTCTTCCAGGAAAAAAAAAAAGGCAGCTCATGGGGAGAATTGTTTCCAAATTAATTCCCTGAGCAAGGAAAGAAGAAGCATGTTTTATTTTAGGGGGAAATGGGTATTCAAGAAGGGGAGTTCTTGTCATCATATGTAAAGACCGGCACAAGCTCATGCCGGCACAGGACAGAAGCGCTGGCATGCGTCTCACGCAGAAGGCAGAGAGCTTAGCATTAAATGAAGGGAGAGGTGACCTTTGGATATCTTTTGAATCATCAGCACAGGTTTTGCCCTCGCAGATTCGGGTGGCTGGTGATTGTGTCTCTCACTGGAATGTGACTGAAAAGCACACACACACACCAAACAGCTTTGGAGAACATCAGATGCTTTGAAGGCTTCAGGTGCTTGAAGCAGAAAGGAGTTACAAAGACCGGTGAGCAGCTAGAAGAATTAGCTAGTGACAGCTTCAGTATAAATAACTGGTGTTTTCCTTCCCCCACTGTTTCATTATAAAGGACTCTGATTTTAGATCCAGCAGACATCTGCTCAGATGTTACCTTGCTTTGCTGCTGATGGCTGAGAATTTGTCCCAGGATCAGTTTTTTTTGTTTTGTTTTGGTTTTTTTTTTCTGCCTAAGCTCTTTCATGGCTCAATAAATCCTTTTAGTCCAGAGATGTCTTGGTCTCAAGTATTTTGATTTAACAAGGTGTAGCAGGCTTTGTCCTGGCCTGCTGGAAGCTATAACAGAATAAGAAACTCCACATAGAATTATATACCTGCAGTAAGCTAAAGATGTCCTCTTGGTGTAGTAGAGAAGCAATTGAGTGTTGAGGGTGTGAAAGATCAGACAAGAACTCAAGAACCTACACAGATTGTAAATAAGCATATGAAAAGGTACTCAACATCATTTGTCATTAGGGAAATACAAGATGACAATAAAACGCTACTTCAAATATATTAGAATGGCTTAAGTCCAAAACACTAAGTCAACTGCTGGCAAGCATACAGAGCAAGAGGAATTCTCATTCTTTGCTGGTGGTAATACAAAAAGGTACAGCCACTTTGGAACAGAGTTGGAAGTTTCTTACAAAGCTAAATGAAGTCTTGTCATGTGATTTAGACATGGTGCTACCAGTTATTTACCTACTTGATGTGAAAACAAATGTCCATACAAAAACTTGCACATAAATGTTTACAGCAGCTTTATTCACAGTGATCCAAAACTGGATGCAACCAAGATTTCCTTCACCAGGTAAATCGATAAAGACACTAAGGGTATAGTACAAGAATGCTGTTCAGTGATAGAAAGGAATGAACTAACAAGCACAATAACAAGTAAATTTTCAAGTGAAAGACTCAAGTCTGAAAAGGCCACATACTGTGTGATGCCATTTGTATGACAGTCTGGGAAACATTAAACTATAGAGACAATAAACAGACAACAGGCAGTTATTAGAGGCCTGGCGAGGGAAGATAATGAAGAATAGAGAATTTTTTTAGGGGAGTGAAAGTAACGGTGGATACATGAAGCTGTGCATTTGTCAAAATGCATAAAATATTACTTCACAAAGGGGGAACTTTAAAGATTATAAATTTTAAAAATTCATTGAGGAGGTAAGAGATCACAAGATGAAACTGCAGTCTATGACAAGGCAATCTAGCTGTATTACAAATATATGACATAACTTCACTGAGGAGAGTTGCAGGGAAATTCACTGACCTAAGTAATTTTAGAAATGAGCAGAGGCCGGCGCCACGGCTCAATAGGCTAATCCTCCGCCTTGCGGCGCCGGCACACCGGGTTCTAGTCCCAGTCGGGGGCTGGATTCTGTCCTGGTTGCCCCTCTTCCAGGCCAGCTCTCTGCTGTGGCCAGGGAGTGCAGTGGAGGATGGCCCAAGTGCTTGGGCCCTGCACCCCATGGGAGACCAGGAGAAGCACCTGGCTTCTGCCTTTGGATCAGCGCGGTGCGCCGGCTGCAGTGCACTGGCCACAGCAGCCATTGGAGGGTGAACCAACAGCAAAGGAAGACCTTTCTCTCTCTGTCTCTCTCTCTCACTGTCCACTCTGCCTGTCAAAAAAAAAAAAAGAAAGAAAAAATAAATAAGAAATGAGCAGAGTGAGCAGAGATTCTAATACTAAAGGCAAAAAAGATCTGTATATTAGTACTATATTCTATGTGGTAATGTCGTTTTCTACCAAGATTGGAGTTAGCACATCTAAAATGACTATGCACTCATAGAATTGAAAGACTGAATAGATGGGGGATAGTGGGTACCAGATTTCTTACTGTTAAAGTGAGAGGAGACATATGAGCAAAGGTAGAAGGCTATAAAGATACATAGGAAATGGATTAAAGTTGGTTACGTCAGTGTAAACCCACATGTAGATTCTTATAGATGAATACACACAGAACTATTTATAGATCTGTTAGTATCTATAAACACAGACATATATAACCTGTGTATTCACATACATTTTCTTGCCCTTTTAGTTAAGAGGGCCTAAAAGATGTGATGCCCCAGGAACCATGAGCATACCCAGAACCCAGATCTTGGTTTCTCGTACCATTCTCCAATAAAGGGAAGCGGGGTTCCTTAGAGAAACTACTGCAGATTGACGCCCCCAAGCAGCTCTTGAGTCATTTCTCCTTCAAAATCCTGAAACTCACAAATCATCTGATGCCTTTCAAAGTTGCTTTTCAGATACATTCCAGGAACAGATGCAATCGCCAACCATTCTGAACTAGTCCAAATCTTGCTGCAAGAGTGATGCCTTTGCAGATGGGTCAAGATTTGCCCAAAGTCACCCTTCACATTTAATACTAAGACCTCCAGCCCAGGAGAAGCTTGACCTCATTCTCAAAGCATGTGTTGTATGTGAGACGGTGTTTCCAAACTACAGCTGTGCTAGCTTATGCCCACCTCTACATGGGATGGCAAAACTTACCCTTTTGAATAGTCTTGCCTCACACAAAATAAGAGGTACCTGTTTTTCCTTCCTCAGAGATCCACAGCTTTGTAAACAATTCCCTGTGGTCTCCTTATTGGAGATAAATGAAAATTATTCTGTGTAACAATGACTTCTGGTGAACATTTTGATTTCTGTTCACCAAGGAAGCCAGTGCATTTTGGACAGGTAAACAAGTGGATTATTTTGGGGTTGGGACAGGGAATTCACAAGAGGAGCCTGATCATCTTATTGTACAAAATGTAAGGATATACTAAAACACCCATGCACACAATAAATGGTTGAATAAATGTGGAACAGCAGATAATTTTTTGCACGAGAATTTCAAATAATTTCTGTGGATACTCCATACTCAACAAAGTGGAGTGTCACTTTTCCCTTTTTAAATATGGACTGTCCACAGTGACTTCCAGAGTACAGCATGGAAAGGTGGGAGAAGAATAGCCTTGAAGTGGAGAAACCTGACAAATGACCACCAACTATGCAACCAAGATCAACACCAACAGTGATGAGTCAAGTTGGCAGCAAGTATCCTTGATAATATGTATAGGAAGCACAGAGTACCTCTGTGATCTTTCTCCTAGAAATCCTTAAATCCAGCCCAATCATGAAGAAAACATCAGCCAAATAACAGCTGAGCAGAGTTCTAGAAAATGCTTCACCTGTACTCCTCAAAACTGTCAAAAGTATCAAAACAAAGAAAATCCTGGAGATTGTCACAGTCAAGAGGAGCACAGGAGATAAAATAATGATGAATTGTAACATGGTATTCTGGATGAAACCCAGGGGAGAAAAAACCAAGGCAATCTGAATGATGAATAGACAGAATGAAAATATTGTACCTATAGTGGTTCATTAATTGTGGCAGTTATATAATACTAATAAAACATGTTAATAATAGGAAGCATAGAGGAACACCACGTACAATCTTAACAATTTTTCTATTACATCTTATACTCTAAAATTAAGTTATTAACTGAAAAGATGATCAACATTATCATTGAATTCAATTGACTACAGATTTGTATGCATAATGTTTAATCTTTAAAAGGCTACGGAAATAGCAGAAACTGATTTAAGGCACAAAACCCATGTAGGAAGTTTGAATCACAAGAAATTTAACATTGGTCTTAGACCATCCAAGATTATATTAACATTGTTCATGGGAAACTCATTGTTAAAGACTCTGAATCATGTCAAGGTTTCATTTTGAAATTGAAGCTGTTTCTTATTATCTCAGATATAGTAACAAAGGCCCATCATATCATGTAAATTACTTTTCAGTGTTCGCAAAGGGAAACACAGTTTGATAATTTTGTTTTCCCTTTTAAGACAATCATACTGTTTACCTGAACTAAACATTTCTAGATTATGTACATAAAACCTGAATGACTACTTTTTAGATCAGTTAATGTGTGAAGTTTCTCATGAGAGAGGACAAGAAGAAAAACAGAAAGATGAAAACAAGCAATCTTCAGACAAACAGTTATCTTCTTTCTGTAGGGAGAGGGGAAAATATTCATATGTATGAGAAGCAGATTTTCACATTTTCACACTCAAGAATCACGCAGCGGACTTTGACACCATGGAGGTCCTTGAGAATTGTGTCAAGCCATCCGACTGCTCACAATTGACAGTCCCCAAAGATGAACATGAAGAAGATGCCTCCCATGTTAGACAAAACAATCTCTTTCAGACAAATTAAACAGTTCCTTCATGAAGTTTTATTGTTCTTGTTTTGGTTCTAACTTTTTGTATGTTGAAGTCCCTACAAGAGTGGCATGTGGCACAGGAGGTTAAGCCACTACTTGCAGTGCTGGCATCCCAGATGAGCACTGGTTCGAGTCCCGGCTGTCCACTTCTAATCCAGCTCCCTACTAATGTGCCTTGGAAGGCAGCAGATGATGACTTAAGTGCTTGTGCTCCTGATGCCCCCATGGGAGACCTAGATGGAGTTCCAAGCTCCTGGCTTAGGCCAGGCTCAGACCCAGCCATTGCAGCACTGTGGAGAATGGATGGATCTTCCAGAGGATGAAGATGTCTCTCTCTCTCTGTTTCTCCCTCTCTTTCTGTAACTCTGCCTTTCAAATAAATAGGATCAATCTTTAAAAAAATAAAATAAAGTCCCTGCATCAAGGTGATGTGTAAGGCAATTTTTTTTAATTTTTTTTTTTTTTGACAGGCAGAGTTAGACAGTGAGAGAGAGACAGAGAGAAAGGTCTTCCTTCCCTTGGTTCGCCCCCCTAAATGGCCGCTACAGCCGGCGCGCTGCACTGCGCTGATCCAAAGCCAGGAGCCAGGTGCTTCCTCCTGGTCTCCCATGCGGGTTCAGGGCCCAAGGACTTGGGCCATCCTCCACTGCACTCCCGGGCCACAGCAGAGAGCTGGACTAGAAGAGGAGCAACGGGGACAGAATCAGGCGCCCCAACCGGGACTAGAACCTGGAGTGCCGGTGCCGCAGGCAGAAGATTAGCCTAGTGAGCCGCAGTTTCGGCCTGTAAGGCAATTTTTTTTTTTTTTTTTTTGACAGGCAGAGTGGACAGTGAGAGAGGCAGAGAGAAAGGTCTTCCTTTGCTGTTGGTTCATCCTCCAATGGCCGCCATGGCCAGCGCGCTGCGGCCGGCACACTGCGCTGATCCGATGGCAGGAGCCAGGTACTTATCCTGGTCTCCCATGCGGGTGCAGGGCCCAAGCACTTGGGCCATCCTCCACTGCACTCCCTGGCCACAGCAGAGAGCTGGCCTGGAAAAGGGGCAACCGGGACAGAATCTGGAGCCCCGACCGGGACTAGAACCCGATGTGCCGGTGCCACGAGGCAGAGGATTAGCCTAGTGAGCCATGGCGTCGGCCTGTAAGGCAATTTTTAATTTATGATCATATCTGCAATTTCTGGCTTCAGACTGTGAACATAAAAAAGTAGAAAAGTCTTTGGAAATGTCAATAGTAGCTAATCTTGAATGCTGTTTAAAACTGGATGCTTGTGTTGTGGCATAGTGGGTTAAGTGGTCACCCACAACACCAGCATCCTATTTTGGCAAGTTTTTGTGTCCAGTTGCTCCAACTTCTAATCCAGCTCCCTGATAATGGACTGAGAAAGCAGCAGAGGATGGCCCAAGTGTTTGTGGCTCCTGTACCCATGTTGGAGACCGGAGGAAGATCCTAGTTCCTGGCCTCAGCCTGGCTTAACCCCAGTTGCCATGGCCATATGAGGAGTGAACTAGTGAATGGAAGATCTCTTTCTGTCTGTCTCTCCCTCTCTTTCTGTAGCTCAGCTTTTCAAATAAATAAATAAATCTTGTTCTAAAAAATGTTGCTTAGAGATATAGTTTTTCACATGTTTTTCATTAGCTAAAACTAAAGAAAATTTTAGGGATTTAAAAGCCTCTTCATACCAATGAAAAAAGCAGACTACCAAACAGTTGGAATTTTGTTCTAAAACTTTTATTCTAAAGCACTGCTCACCTGAACAATGTTTCCCATATTAGCTTTCTAAAGTAGTAACTGTAGTTTTGAAACGTCTTAGTGAAAGACGTACACAGGAGTTAGAGTTGTAGTGATGAATCATCAAGAAATAAGGAGCTCAGCTTGTAGGAGTTGCCCTTAATACCCAAGGGGTCCCTGCAAACTGCAGCTGTGTCTATAACAACGGCTCTCCTGTGCTTCTGTGCCTCAGGAGCTTGGCAGAGACCAATTATTACCTTGCAGGAGCTGGACAAAACCTCCTGGCTCTGAGCAGACAAAACCAAATAAAAGCAGTTCTCAGGGACACAAAAACAAGACTGCGGAAGAAGTTTCATAAGGTTTTGAAGTGGTGAGCCACCGCCAAGTTCTCTCACTGGATCCTGGTCTGGAAAGAAACCTCTGTTTCTCAAACCCTGGGTTGGCTTGATGATGGACCTCTCTGGTCTAGTCAAATCCATTCCCTTCCCATGGATATTTCCCCAATAGAAAAATGACATTCAAGACACAAGATAAGTAGACAGGGCATAAGACAGGTGAATGTTAGGTTCTAGAAAAGAATTTTGCCAAAGAACAATGCAAATCTGATCTTGGTAGGTAGCTAGGTGGACATTAACCGATATGTGTAAGAGGAACTGAAGAAAATGTGATTTTTTTTAAATGGGGACTTTTGTGCAATGGAATGAGGAAACAAGACTTAAAAACAGACTAGCAATTACATACCTAAAATATTGCTCTTGTTCAATAATGTTGTTCGATGGGTTCCAGCCCTCTCCCTGGGGCAGCTGTGTGGAATCTCCCCACAGGAAATGGCTATGTCCATAACACTGCACTGATGAATTCCTGAAAAGACTGTTGGGAATTCCAAAACCAGAAAGCCCATCACCCAACGATTTTCCAGAAGAGGGAGGAGGGGAAGAGAAATGGGGGGCAGGGGGGACTGCCTAATCATATCCATAAAAACTCCGGTCTGAATACAGACTGGAAAGACCTGGTCTTTCAGGTATAGTCTCTGCATTCCTAGTTTGAATGCAGACTGGGCATTCAGGTCTTTTCCTGGGACACCACCTGATTATCTGATAACTAAAAATTCACAGGACCCTTATACCCAGTAAAACAAAATAAATCCAATGCTGAAAGGCTTCAAAGAAACGCCAGAATCAAATTGAGCATGAACTTACCTCCCAGCCAGGGAAAGTGGAACCTGGAGCAGATGGAGGTACAGAGGTCCCAGATGGGTACACTGTCACCAAGCCCAGGGCTCCATCCACGGAAAACTCTATTCTTGTCAGTATCCGTTAGTCAAAGACCATCAGGAGCACAGCTGTAGTTGAACAAATTGAGTTTATTACTAGTTGCTGTCAGGGAGAGCACACCCAGTAGGGAACCATAGCATCTCAGCAAGAGAGGGTTAGAAAGAAACGAGCGTACCATTTGAGCTCTGATTGGGTGAATTGAGGAAAGAGCAAAGGAAGAGTTTTCTCTCTTTTGTATGTGGTTCAAAAGTGGAGATAATTCAGTAACTGGGTATCTCAATGAATTATTATCTATGGAGTGGGAAGACCAGACTAGAGTGAAGATAAAGGCTGTAATTGATCAACAAGTCTCAGGCACTCATTTTTCCCAAAAGAGAAGGATGTTTGCTACTTTGTAGGTGGCACAAGGACCTTCTTTTTGTTTGTGATTAGACAAAACTATGAAATGGCCTTGTTTCCTCCAGCTTCATCATGGCCTTAGAGTAAGTTTGTCTGAGATGGGTGTTTTTGAGGTTGTTTATGTCCACAAGGAGAACAACATGGCCTAGCTGTGAGTGCCAGGCAGCTTTCCATGTATCAGGGGCTATTTGTTTTGTTTTATTTTCCTTTCTTAAAACCAGAGATGTGCAGGGAAATAGATGCAAACAATTAGAATTAACTGAGCATTATGTAAGATGAGAACTGAATTACAACGACGTATAGTGGAGGCAAGATGGGGGGAAATATTCCACTTGGGATGTGGAGGGGACAACATGAAGAAGAGCTTGGTTTAGGAAGGATTTCATGCATTTATTACCTCTATAGTGAAGACTTGAAGCTGGGTCTTGACAGATAAGTGCGCGTTCCTTAGGTAGAGAGGGTGAAGGGCATGCAGAAAGCAAGGGAAGGCGCCGGCGCCGCGGCTCACTAGGCTAATCCTCCGCCTTGCGGCGCCGGCACACCGGGTTCTAGTCCCAGTTGGGGTGCTGGATTCTGTCCCGGTTGCCCCTCTTCCAGGCCAGCTCTCTGCTGTGGCCCGAGAGTGCAGTGGAGGATGGCCCAGGTGCTTGGGCCCTGCACCCCATGGGAGACCAGGATAGGTACCTGGCTCCTGCCATCAGATCAGCGTGGTGCGCCAGCCGCAGCACGCCGGCCATGGTGGCCATTGGAGGGTGAACCAATGGCAAAAGGAAGGCCTTTCTCTGGTCTCTCTCTCTCACTGTCCACTCTGCCTGTCCAAAAAAAAAAAAAAAAGGCAAGGGAAGGATGACATTTAAGGCGAGACAAACTAGCATCTAAAAGAAAGAGGTATTTCTCTCCACGGGACACGTCAAGAGAAGCTACAAAGAATTTGAAATATGGAGAAATGAGGCTGTGGGAGTGAGTATGAGTCAGACATTAATAACCTTTTGGAATTGCTAGGACTTTTAACATGCTCTGATATGATTAATAACCATCAAGACGTCTTAAATGGTGGACTAACATAATCATATCAGGCAGAAAGCAAACCCAAGGTGCACAGAGACCAGCAAAGGAACTTTTCAGCAGTTCAGAAGTGACCCAGGTGAAGGCCTGCAGTAGGGTGTGGTTAATGGGAGAGAAAAGAGAAAGCGGATGGAGACTTTCAGCTCTTTCCTTACCAGCCAGACCTGGAGACCATGAAGTGAGCAAGGCTTAGTTTGCAGGAGCCTCACTTGCTCTGGCCCCCTCAGAACACCTAGGGATGGCTCCTGGGATATCTTCTTATCATCATATTTCTCTGAAAACGTATGAAAAGGTATCTTTAGCTGCCATTAGTTAAATGTCTCTTTCACCTAGGAATTCTAAAAAGCAAAATGTCTATATGCTGGAAGCAACTGTAGTTTTTGCTGTTACTGTCTGTTGATGTAAGAGAAAATCAGATTTTAATTAAATATTGTGTTTTCTATTTAGTCTCCCTTGTTAATATAATTGGCAGAACTGATGCTCACAGTTAGGGGAAGAGGAATTAAGAAGAAATAAATGAAATTTCCATTGTTGTGAGTCATAACCAGTGAATTATTGACAATTTCATCTGGTTAACCTAATAAAATGACAAATTACTTTTAAAATAGAAAGTTTTTTTGGCTTATGGAACAAAGAAACCAAATACATTCTCTGGACCAATGCCATCTTGTTTTGTTTTGTGTTGTTTTATTATTTTTTTTTACAGCAAGAGTAAGAGTAGTCACCTCTCTTCCCAACTGGACACATTTTTTGAAACACGAGTTAAGAAACCTGGGCTTGCCCAAAAATTACTAATATAATCTTACCATTATTGAAGAGGAAATAAATACATCAAAAATTACTGTGGATTCCTATTGTGGTACAGGTTAAGCCACTGCTTCCTGAATCCATATCAGAGAACTAATTTCAGCCCTGTCTACCCCATGCTTCCCATCTTACTTCCTGCAAATGCACCCGGGAGAGAGTAGATGATGGCTCAAGTTCTTGGGTCTCTGCCACTCACATAGGAGACCTGGATGGAGTTTCTGGCTTCTGACTTCAACCTGGCCCAGCCCTGGCTATTGCAAGCATTTGGGGAGTGAACAAGAAGATGGAAGATCTCAATCCTTCCGTCTCTGTCACTCTACCTTTCAAATAAAATAAGTAAACCTTTGAAAAACTGCATATGTACTAGGCTTCATGCTTACATGGACAGGGCAAGAAAATAGTTCAGACTTGGTTCTTACCCTAAAGAGCTTACATTCAATTTCATTTTGGAATGTCTACATGGAAAGATGGTGAAAACCACAAAGCATACAGTTATCAAATAAATAATAAAGAAAAGAAGTATCGGCAGATTCCAGTGAAAGAGCCAAAGAGAAAGAGCACACATCTAAATGAGACGAAACCTAGGAAATCTCTCCATGCAACTTAACCAAATATTGGTTGTATACACAGCAGCAACTCACGGTACCTTTCTGGGGATGACACCTTCACAGAGACGTGGGCAGCCCGAGTGAGTAATGGTTAGCACTGGCCACTTCTTCAACCAAAGCCAAACCACAGGCGCAGAAGTGGTGGTCCACAAGATCTGTCAGTGGAGGGGCCATCACAACTCCACCGAGACAGAAAGGGCTGGACAGGGGCTCTCTGAAAGGACAGCCAATTTCCAGGAACAACTGGGCAGCAAGGCAGGGGAAAGCCAGCCACCCCTGTTCATTTGTCAGCAAGGCCAAAGGCCTTGTTCCAGTGTGGGAGATGGCATAGCATGGAGAAGCCCCAATTTCCCAGGACCCCACTGCTCCCTTTTGTAGAGCACTGCCTCCCAGGTAATCCTTCCCAAGACTCAGCCAGCACGGGGTTCCTGGCCACGGGCAGCACTGAATGGAAATTTCTGGCTTCAAGTTATACCTTCCACCTGCTGATACATACTTGTCAGGCTGCCCTGCTCCACAGGGGCTGCAACTGCTTCCATTGTCTGAGTTTGCAGCTTCATTTCCTTCTTAACAGTAGATATTTTAGTCCTGATTTAAACTGCGTTGCCATGGTACCAGCAAGGCTGAACTCCCTCCACCCCCATTGATTGAACAATCAGAACTCCTCTCCTGTTAATTCATGCCTTTGGCCTCTTTCCCTACAGGTTTTTGCTGGATGCTCAGGTTCGGCTGCAGAGTAGACACAGTCACCTTTGCCTATCACCGACTTCAAACATGTTCTTCCACTCCATAGTTGGCTGTTGACATTATTTATAGTGCCCTCATGGCACAAATGTCTGAAATTCTTAAGAAATCTTTGGTTAGCTCACACAGACATTTGAAATTCTCAGAGATCAAGAATCTGTTAGCCTCTCCAACCTTTGATTTTTGCTTAGGATGATTCTGTCCCTTGATAATGTTACCGTGCATAATATTTGTAAAGTGTCTAAAATATTTATAGCAGTGTTTCTTCCTGTGGAGTGCATGATAAGCAGTTCCTGAGCTGGTTTTACAAAAATGTTTGAAACGCAAATACTTGGTCACTAGGATGTTTAGTAAATTTCAAATCTCCCTGATCAAGTTTCACAAGCTTCCAAAGGCTACCTTCCCCCCCACATACTTGCCCCACTTCACATTTGCACACTGATTTTTCTCCAAGGACTAGCTGCGAACCAGTGACGTTGAGATCTTTTTCAAACGCTTTTGAGGCCTGCTTTTACCACGTTCTCACTTTTATACTGCAGCACTGTCATATTTAATGTGCAGTTTCTTAACCACAGAAAACACCAAACTTTTTTTTTTAATATGGGTTGTACATATTTACGTCCAAGCCAGTGGTTTGTTCTTTTTCTTTTCTTCCTTCCTCCCCCCCCCCCCCTTTTTTTTTCATACAAAAGTACTTTTCGCCCTCAAGGTTTGGCTGCTTTGTTTTCTTGTTAGGCCGACCCTAAACAAGACCCCAAAGCCAGCAGCCTCAAAGGCCTTTTGCGGCAGACACCTCTTCTGGGCTATTCTGTCCCTCTGGCTTTGGTTCATGAAATTAGCATTCGTATAAATGAGAAACTTCCGTTAAAATGGTCTCTGACCTAAAATATGATTGGGAAAAAAAATGTCCTGGGAGAAAGCTGCTCAGACACGCGTCACTGAGAACCGGGCATCACGCCCATTATTTGCTGGTTCCTTGTTCCCTCTGTTTAGGGCCACTGAAACCGTTCTTTTCCCTCCTGTTCTGGAAATGCAAGTCGGGCTGGTGGGAGGGCCGAGAGCTGGAGCCCGCACCGCAGCGCCGCAGACGGCACCTGCGGAAAACGGCCGCCGCTGCGCCGAAACACCGCAGCTTCCCGAGGCAGAACACAGCGACGCCGGTACTGCGCAAGCGCCCAAGACTCGCGCAGGCGCAGAGGGCGGCCTTGACATGGGCGGAGCTGAGGCCGACCGCGGAAGCAGATACGAATGATTCAATTTAAGCGACGTAAGCCCGTGCTTGTCGTCTCCCACATGGTCTAGCGGTTAGGATTCCTGGTTTTCACCCAGGCGGCCCGGGTTCGACTCCCGGTGTGGGAAGGCTGGTTATTTTGGATGAACATTTCATTTATCCTGTTATATTTAGAAGCTGCTTAGCAAGAACACTATGGCAAGAGCTTCCTTTGGAGCTAAGTCAACCTGGAATACCCGGCTAGTGATTCACAACCTCAAAAACCAACTTGTGTGTTCACGGTGTGATTTGTGCCCGCTGTATAATTTCTTTAAAATTTACAGTAGATAATATTTAGTGATCAAACTCAGACAAAGAACAGAATGCAGAGCTGAGATGAGATCTGGTCTGTCCTTTCCTTTTTTTTTTTTTTTTTTTAAGGGAAAAGGTTTATTGGTGAAGAAACCCGACAGAGACCTGAGGGAAGGGGCGAAGAAGGAAAAGAGGGAGGAGGAGATAGTAAGAGAGAGTGAGAGAGAAGAGAGAGCGAGCGAGCGAGCGAGCGAGCCACGAGTCCAGGAACAGGTCCTCTGGTCTATCCTTTCTTCAGGGGCCCTTTGTACTGGATGACAGGCACTGTCTCCACTGCAGTGACTCAAGCCAGGATTCTCACCGCCAAGCCTAGAGTGTTTCAGCTGTATATGTCAAGTAATACTCTAGTACCCCACGCATTTATGTCATTCCCAGGACACCACTGTCAAAAGCTCTTCTGTTCCAGCCGCGTTCCACTCAATGAGTCCACCTTATCCGTGGAAACTTGCCTACTTGCACTCTGCCACGCTGAGATTCTGTGGCATCCCCTGAACGGGAAACACTTATTTTGGGGGTCTTTTTGTTTGTTTGTTTCGTTTTTGTTTTTAAGCAATCCTTGTTTACTGAAGATTGCTACCTAAGAGTTGCAAAGCAGCTGGTTCCTCCTCACTAGTGCGTTTCTCAATACCTCAGTGGAAGAAGTATTTTCTGGGCCTCTCTGGGGAATGTAATGAATGGCCAGTTTGTGGGTCACATTTGATAAATTCCACTCCAATGTGACTATTTGCCTAAAAGTGTTAGTCTGCCCTGTATCGAGAATGTATAGCATTACAATCTCAATAAAGGTGAGCCACACCAAGTCCAGGTTTCAGTCAACAAAACAACCTGGGGCTAGAACCACTCCCAGATACTCAAACTAATTTATGATTTCATTTCATTTAGGTAAATTCCCAGGGGAGGGATGACTGTGTCATATGGTAGATCTATTTTCAGATTTCTAAAGAATGTCCGGACTGTCTTTCTACTAGTTTACATTCCCACCAACATTAAGAAAATATGGTATATATACACTATGGTATACTACTCAGCCATAAAAAGAATGAAATAGTGTCTTTTGTAACAAATTGGCTGCAATTAGAATGATCATGCTTCGTGAAATAAGTCAGTCTCCAAAACACAAATATCACGTTTACTCTGATATGTAGAAGTTAATATAGAATACAAAAAAATGTGTAGGAACAAAACACACATTTTGCAATTTGATTATTGTTCTTTGCCCTTGTTTATACTCCTGTGGAACCAGAGTCTTTCTACTTTTACTTGTTGATTATGATTCATGGTACATTAAGCCTGTGATTATAGAGTGTACTGAAATTACAATTTTTACAAAAATTAAAGAAAAGAAAGGAAGGAAGGAGGGAGTTTGAGCAGGGGAAAGAGGGTGGGTATGGTTACCTTCTTAGAATTGTACCTAAGAAATACATGAAATCTGTTCTTTTTTAATAAAAATTTTAAAATTTTAAAAATTAAAAAAATTTAAACACACACACAAATTAACATTTGAAATCCATGTTGACAAATCTGCTCAATTCAGTGTTATCCTCTGCCTTTATGGCTTTGCAATCTTAGAACCCATTCCCACACATGGTCCTTAACTTCCTTTTAATGTAAATTGGCATAATAGTGTCATTATTTCAATGTATAGATTATCTCATGCTGGCTCAGACTTTACACCCAACTTCCACAATTATTCTCCTTTGGGGTCTGAAAGCATGTTGTGAGGGTATGCCTGGTGCAGAATTGGCATCTCTTTGCAAGGTGACAGGTTAGGATGCGTAATGAGGCCCTTTAAAGGCAAAGTGTGGTCTCTGAACAAGCAGCATTGGCATCACACAGGTGCTTGATAGAACTACAGATTCTCAAGACACTTCAGAGCACTACTGTGTCAAATTTGTGCACTTTAACAAGATCCTTAGGAAATTCTTACACACATAACATCTGAAAATCACTGATCAAGGTTTTGAATGAAGGAAAACTCTTCCTAACACATAGGAAGAGGAGGATACTTCCCCTCGCAATAAGAAGCTCAAGAAAACTTGGGGTTTCATAATTCTCAGACTCATTGAGCTAACTTAAGTATTTCCATTACACTACTTGGGGGTCCCATTCTTTCTCAGCCAGTGACCTTTCACTTAAATAATATAGCTAAGCTGTGAGTCTGACTTATTTGTAATTATGAAACTTAGAACATAAAATTATGTAGTTTTTTCAACTGTAACTCTTATTTCTTGCATCTACAGTATATAACTAATTGAGAGCCATTGTATAAGATCTCTAGTCTTCTGATTATATATTGAGTTGAGAGGTTAAAGCCTTGAGTAATTCATTCTCTCTATATAAATTCTCTAGTGCAGCCAGAAGTGGTCAAACTACCATCACAATGGTTTAACGTAGAGGTCTCTGGGTAATGAAACTTTAACTCAATAGTCTTATCTTTGTTCCAGGTAATATTTTCTCCAAACTACCAATATCTAATTTTCCACAAGTAACGAGGTCATTATTGCATTTATGCCTAAGGAACCATATTGCTTCCAGAGGGTACTGTTACAAAAACTTTGCCAATGGGGGCCAGTGCTGTGGCATAGTAGACTAAGCCTCTGCCTGTGGCTCCGGCATCCCATATGGGTGCTGGGTCATGTCCCAGATACTCCTTTTCTGATTCAGCTCTCTGTGTATGGCCTAGGAAAGCAGTGGAAGATGGCCCAAGTGCTTAGGCCCCTAAACCTGCATGGAAGACCCAGAAGAAGCTCCTGGCTCCTGCCTTCAGATCAGCCCAAGTTCCAACCATTGGGGCCAATGGGGAGTGAACAAGTGGATGGAAGACCTTTCTCTCTGTCTCTCCCTCTATCTGTCTGTAATTCTACAATAAATAAATAAAATATTTTTAAAAGTTTGTCAATGAATATCTTGCAAGAAAAACTGAATATACTGTAGATATTTCTGATAATGAATAGGTTAGAGGAGCATCTCATTGCTCGTGTGGTCAGAGCCTGCAGATCATACTCCCAGGCTATTAATTTTGTTTTCACTCAGCCACGTGTTCTGACCACTAAAGAAGCATCTGACTCATTTACACACATTGCCTCAGCTTCTGGAACCACTGCAGTTCCTGGACAGCTCCTGCTACCACTTTTGGAAAATGCCGAAGACACTGGAAACTGAAGGCAACCACTAGTATTAAAAGAGAAGAAGAAAAAAAAATTTCCCCTTCCTCCTCTTGTCCAACCTCCTCCTGTCAGTATTTCCAATTGACAAAACCTAATTAGATGTCAGCTGCCCAGATGAACTGGAATCCTGTAATTAAAGCCCTCTGAAATACAGAGCAGAAAAATAATCCCAATATTTATCATACATACGGTTACTGCTTGTTTATCTGCTAGTCTTCCCTGGAACCGTACATTACTGGTTTTTAACGTACACAATGCATCACTCACAGAGCTTACTTGCATACAAATGACCACACTGCTTTGCTGATTCATCTGGAAAGGCTGAGTAATGTGGTTTCACTGTTCGACACCACACCTGCTGCAGTCACTCAGTTGGCCCCACTCAGCTACTATAGCCTGGGCTGAGGCTGACATCTCTCCATATGGAATCTTATTCTCCAAAACTTGTCCACATGCCATGCACTTCTCAAGTGTGGTGGCCTCAGGGCAGTCTCCTCCTGGCATTGTGGCTGACTTCCAATAGGAAAAAAGCAGAAACTGCCACTCCTTCTGAAAGCTAGGCTCGGAACAGGTCTAGTGTCACTCATGCTATATTCTATTTGTCAACACAGTCCCACATCATCCTAGTTTCAAGGAGGTGGATAAGTAGATGTCACCTTTCAATGGAGGAGAGGCAAATCCTTGCACAAATAGAAGAAACAGTGGCCATTCTTGTGACCACAAGTATGAAAGTGGGTTATTGTGTCTTTGGTTTAACATGTCTCTTCCAAGCCTAACTCCTGCATGGAAGGAATACAATCTTCAACCTAAAATAGTTGTGATTTTTTGACTTCACAAAGGAGCAAAAGTTATTCACATTCAGTAGTAACCATACCTAAAATGTTGAATTTTGATATTTTCCTGGGCTAGTGATGTTCACTACAACGCTCTCTGGTTATGCTGGGCAGTGTCAGTGAGCGGGAGCTCCAGTCAGCCCCATGGTCACAAGAGGAACAACCAGCACATTCCAATGTGCTGTGTTGCTGATCTAGGATGCTCAGTAGGTTAGACATATTCAGTGCATGGCTGGCCTACAGGGATTTCAACTTATGATGGGCTCAGTAGGACATAACCCCTTTGTAAGTGAAGCAGCATTTATATACAGTGAGTATTTACGGAAGGAAGGAAGGAAGGAAGGAAGGAAGGCAGGCCTGGATATGACTCTCTGTAGAAGAAATATTCTTCTTTTAGCAGGCAGTGAAACTCACAGAATTCATCCGCTTTTCCTTTTTGCTTTGGCACAATAACTGTTTTACCCACAGTTCCCCCATATTTTCTCCTATTTCCTCTTTCTGGACCTAATCACCCTTTTATACTTTGTGAATGTGCTTTGCGAAGTGATGACTTTCTGTGTAGTCAAGCGGATTGTTGCGCACAGAGTGAGTTCACATCACAGCTAAGGAACCCTGGAGTTATGAAATCCTTGATTT